GAAAACTCACAGCAACCCAATATCCTTTGTAGTTGACACTGTTGGGTTGGACTGAAACACCAGTTTTTTTATGTGAGCCAGAAGGCAGCTCTTCCTTTTTCCTGCTATAGAGACAGTTACTTCTACAGGCAAACCACCTTTCCCCCCTTTGTCTTACAGTGGTTCTTGGTGAAAAGGACAGTGGTTACTGTGTGTGCCAAATGCCATGCAACTTGACACGCTACAACAAGGAGCTCTCCATGGTTAAGATTCCCAGCAAGACTTCAGCCAAGTACCTTGAGAAGAAATTTAACAAATCTGAGAAATATATCTCGTAAGTAAAGACTGTCTACATAGGGTGGAGTAATCATTATAGTATGTAAGCTGGGTAGAATTTCTTGCTAATGATACACTGTGGTGCCTGTTTGTCAGGGCACTGCTAGGTTCCATCAGCATTCAGGATGGAATGATCTGCCCATTCAAATGGCCCAGAGTGTAGTGGTAGTCCAAATCCACAAGGGTTTTGGGTCCTACAGCAGCAGACAAGGATGTGAGGAACAAGAGGTAGGAATTCAATCAAAGGTAGGCAGAAGTCAAAAATCCAGATAGGATAGGATGTGATGCAGTAATCAAGAAGAAGCAAGATGGGAGAGTAGGAGCTTGTACTATAAATGAGTTCCTCCGAATAAAGAGCTGGTATTGAGTTAAGAGTTTTATCGAGTGTGATCCACAGGGGATTGCCCCCAAGATCAACTGGCTGGCTGTTAGGCTGACTCATGCTGCGGGCAAAACAATGCAAGGCCTTACAGATGTCACTGGGCTGCACCTCCCGTTGGCCTTAGCTAGTGTCAGGTCAATAGCAAGGTATAATTGGACAACCTGTTTTCTTTCCATTGCTTAGATTGTGCTCTTGAAGCCCTTGGCTCAGACTGTCAGGTTGAGAGTAGCAACAATGTGATGGGGGCATTAACTGCTGGCAGTCCAAATTCAAAAGACACACACACATCCATGCTTGGTACCGCTGCTGTCTTACACTGTCTATCACAAGGCAAGTGAGAAAAGCACAATATTGTA